ATTTGTCAGTTTCGAAAGACATAGCAGTCAGTTTCACTATTCGCCAGTGGAGTGAATTCTTGATCTGTTTGTTAATCAAGTTCATTGACTGGTCTGGTAGCATGCTGGCTACCAGGGCTCATAAGATACACTTGTCATCAGGTATCAAGTGTTTTCTGCACCTAAGTCGACCACTTTAAGTTACTAATGGGTGGAATTATGTGGTTTAACATTAGTGATACAACTTAAATGACTATTTTGTTATATTATGTTGAAGTATGTCTAGACTTGTAGAATTACAATAGCATCTATTGGAACAAATCATGAGTGTATGTGTGTATAAGTGTGTTTCTGGATGTGTGAATCCGACAATGCATTGGGATGAAATAGAAACCTGTCTGCTACTTTGGACAATGGTGTAAAATAGGAAGTTTGTGTGGCAATATATCCCACGTAAGCCTATTATGTCAATTAGTATGTATGTTTGTGAATAGAGAAGTCATAGATGGAAGGTGAGAGAGAGAGAGAATGAATGAATGAAAGATTGAATGAATGGGTGAATGGGACAACCAAAAACAATGTATTATAAGCTTTTCATTCTACTTCTTTTGGTTATTGTTATTTTGAAAAACAAGTTTACAATGCTTCAATAGACATTATTTTCAAACTAATAATGAGGTATAAAAGTTACACAGAACGGAAATCATAATGTATGTTTCAACGATAGGGTTCTCTAATAGCTATTAGCGTGATGATCGACACACTAAGATTCTATTTACTTTCGCTTAGACCAAAGATATGCATTTTGAGGGTATGTGCGTGAATGTTTGTCCTTGTCCACTGACTAGTTGACGTATTTATGCAACGAAACCCTTTTTATCATATATATATATATATATATATATGTTGGTGAGGAGCTTCATATTGTCTTGCATGAAAAATTTCTTTAATTTTATCTGCTTTCCGATTTTCAATTCGGTCATCTGATCTTTGCTTCAAAATATCCTTTCCGGCCAATACAGCCGTAAAATGTAGATGCAACTTAAAATTAGGTTCGAATAAGCATAACAGACTTCTGAAATCAGTGTAGAAGTCTACTGAACTCAGCGTAAGGAACAAAATCTGAATTTTCAACACTAATGTAAAGTTACCGAGTGCTTCTGTATTGTTTCAAGAATTACAGCTTTACAAAAAGCATTTCTAACAGTCTGCTGAGGACTTTCATCAATAGCTGCCTTCTCTGACTCGGTAGTGAAGATCAGATTGTCAAAATGGAGTAGCAATACGGAATTCGGGCAGCCAAGCAACCAAGAATATCAGTGCCCAACAGATATGCCGAAGGAAGTGGAGACGGAGAGGAAACACTGTGTGGCCAGATCTTTGGGTAAAATCACGCGCTTTGCTCCCTAGTAGACCCAAAACGGTAGGTGACATGGAAGAGATAGTATGAGGAAGAAATAGGAGCCTGTGGGCAGTGGTCGAGACGACTAAAAAACTGCAGAAGGTAGAATGAAATGGAGGTGTGCTTCTGAAACCTTGTATTTCGTTTGGAAGCCAAAGGAAAAATGGTAGATTTATTTGATGGTTGAAAAACATCGTGGAGTGAGAAACTGCAAGATCGTCCACTTGAAAAGTCAGATGAATTGCAGTCAGACAGATTTATGAACACATAATTTTAGAGTGTATAAGGAATGTTAGTTGTAGGGAAATAATTAAACACGCATTCTTTTCGATAACTTCGTCATCAGGTTTTATTGTTATATATCTATAATAATTATTGAATGATCGCTATTGAGTATATTGGTGGTTGTTAAAGAGTGACATCGTATCATTTATATCAAAATTTCAAGTTATTTGCAAACAGATTGCTAACAGAATATAGTCCAAAGTATGCGTATGTGGTAATATGCAAAATTATAATACTAAAATGAACACCAGTATTACAAAGTAAATGATTATGAATGACAAAGAATGTATAGTAATGAATGAGTCATATTAATATTATATTGTATTCATATTGATTGTAAAATTCAGCTAGATGAATGATCAGGTCAAATATTTTCAAGGGTGAATTTTATGTGCGTTGTATGTGCGTCAATGTGCAAGTTAACAACCACCTTTAAATAAGAAAACAAAAGGTTAGTTTAATGACAAGGGGTAAGGGAATTCTGATCCAAATAATTCGATGACACTCTTTAAAAACCACTAATGTTGTCAATTACAAACATGTGTTCGCTAAATTAAGGCCTATTTCGCCTTCAAATGTAAAATGTAACAGTTCTCAGTGTGACACTACATAACATTTCATAAGATCTAATAAAGTTCATTAAGTGATAACTGAAGGGCAGCCAATGAAGTGGATTGGAAACTCTAAATCCCATCGAATCTCCGCATACATCTTGTAAGCGAGTATTACACAATAATAAGGATCTAGGCCACCCATTTTTAAATACAGCTTAAATTGTAGATTTAGGTAGAAAAAAGGTTTCCAAATACGACAAATACTGAGAAGTGAAGAGATAAGTCGGCTATCATTTAACAAGAGATTTAGGAATATATCCCAGTACTTTGCACCGAAGCGTCTGTTTTACGAATTAGTGTCTTAGATTCAAATCTTAGGGAGAAAATGAATTTACTTCAGGTTATACAAACATCTTTCTTAAAACTGTTGTTATGTACGAAATCTAATATTGCACCCATAATAGCAATCATAAAAAGTTTGTGAAAAGTTTTAGCTTGAGAAATTACTTTCATTTTTCTTAGTTTGATTACAGCTTGATTCCACACTGTATTTTTGGTACAAGTATGGAATTTTCAGCATGGATATCGGTAGCCCAAATTTTGCAGGCCGACCATAGATATCAGGTGTGCACCGGCGTGGGCTCGAACCCCGGACCATGTGCATGGTCGGCGAGAGTCCTGACCACTGTGCCACCGACGCACATATTGTCTAGTTTTAAATGGAAATTTATATTCTCATGCCAGACAAATAACCTGATTTTCGAAATGTTAGAATAATTCAGGCTCCAATCGACAAGTGAAGGTTTGTCATCAGTAATATTATTATGTCATAATTACCCTACGAAAATCTGTATAGCCTAGTGCTCATTGTGGCTGATTGTTGAAACAGAGATATCTCACTGGACATATTTCGATTAAATTCACCTATCAGGTACCGAATGCTTGTCAAATTAATTAATAAATGAAGCATGGAATGTAACATTGTCCACAAATAGAGCATAGTTTGATCTAAACGAAGCCTGATTATGTATTTAACTGTGATTGGTTGTAGTATATTGAAAAAGGAGAAATTCAGTCGACAAATTATTATTCACTGGTCAATATACTTTTTTCGGTAACGTAAAAATTTCTCCTATTTCCAACGCTTCAGTGGTGAACATTAATTAATAGCTGTTTATCATACCTATTGATTTTTGCTGATTATACCTTACTACATTCGTGCTCATTAATGACTGTTTTAGGCAAAGATTACGATCTCCATTTATAATATCCCTACTGTTGGCAAGATGAATTTAAAATAGGAACTTACACTATTTGTTTTTAATATAGCAGTTATTTTTTTGTTAAACAATATCCTGCATCCTGACTTGGTGAAAAATCTAATTAGCACAGCATAGAGTGAAACTTCACCTTTGGTGATATTCAGATAATAATGTGTGATGAGTTCTCCCCTGAACTCTGCAACTTGAAAACGCCGAATTCGATACACTGAACTAAGAGTTTACCCGGGTATTTTATTCAATTTCTTTAAAGTAAGTGTGACACTGTTGACGAATTTGGCGCCAGAAGAGCATGTGACCGTCTGAGATACAGATCACTTGTTTTCTGAGAGTAAGTGGTAACGGATGATTTAGGTGCTTCGCACTCCTCGGTGTCAATCAGTAGTATATACAGCCTTAGTGATAAGAATATTTTCAAGTATTGGTTTTGTAGGGATTTTGTTTGATTGCATGGAGGATTTCATTATGAGCTGACATCAGTTAGAGAACCACTGGAACCACCACTAGGAGTAGTGGACAACTGTTTCGTCATAGTTTGGGACTCTTCATCACCACGCACCCACCGGGATTCGGACCCAGGACCTTCTGGTTACAAGGCGAGCTCGTAGACCTTTGAGCCACTGGGAACCGTGACCAGTAGGGTACAGCAGGTTGTAGATGAGGGAGTAACTCATCGAAGAAGACATTGTGAAATGGTCGCGCTATGTCGTGAATTGGCAGAAGTCAGAATTCAAGAACCATTGGATCGGGTCCCAGTGGCCCTATGGTATATGAGCTCGCCCTGTAACCTGAAGGTGCTGGGTTCGAACCCTAGCGGGTGTGTACTGCTGAAGAGTCCCAAACTAGGACAGCTGTCCAGTACTCCCAGGTTTTCCAGTGGTTCTCTTACTGATGTCAGCTCATAAGAATATTTATCATGTTATTTTGTAACTTATGTGATCAGTGTGATAATGCATCCATCGTAAAATTGTTTTTCATTTAGAATACAGTAATTATTTTGATCATTTGTAACTCGGACTTTTGGATTCTACTGACAGTAATTTACCTGAAACAATTAGTTATCTTTGTGAATTTCAACCTAAGAATTAGGATGTTCAGACCACCTTTATATATTCAGAGGGAATTCATCATCACATTAGACCTTCCTTGGTAAACTTTATTTTAATACTATTATCTTCCTTGCTTTTATTGATTTTCATTGTTATTTTTATCTTCAGTACGGCCTTTTAACTTGAGCTATGTCTATTTTCTCACCTTTTAACTCTTTATTATTTTAATACATATTCGTAAAACAAGTACGTATGTGATCAGACTGTTAGATATATGTTGCACTAATACATTCAAAGATTTAGAATAATTCATCCGCTGTTGAAGATATTTTTTCATTACTTAATTTCTCAAAAAAGATAATGATTGTAAAAATGAACAAGGTTTCATATATTATAATCTTATTGTAGTAGGGATAAAATTTTTAATATGTTTAACATTTTTAAACTTCAGCCCCAAGTTCAGCTCCACACTCCATCGAAACTGTAGCAACTTCTGATGATTCAATTCTAGTCAGCTGGAAGCCACCGAAAGAAGCAAACGGGAAAATTATTGTAAGTTGCTACTTATGTACGTAAAATTTATGTTACCTGTTTTCTTCAAAATGTTTCTAATCAGTTTCTATCCTATTTTTTAAATAACTGTTCAGTAGTTTCTTCCAGTAATATATTTTGTAGTGAAAATACTTTGCAAGGTCATGAGATTCCTTAGGGTATGAAACTCCCAGTGTACAGCTACGAATGATCTTTAATGCATTAGCCAACAAGTGATAACATGTACTATCATTTTAGACTGAGGTTACCCTATGCAATAATACATTATAAGTATGCGTTTTATTGTTTACTATGTGAGGGTGGGAAACGATCATTTGAATGAATAATTGTTACCAAACATTGTTCAACAAAATTGCCATTCCCTTAACTGATTGGTACTGAAGTAATTAGATCAATGTTCCATAATCAAATGCTTAAATAAGGCTGGTGACAAGTTATCAGTCTATATTTTACACAGAGAACATTAATTCGCTGAATGTCTCTCTATTCACTTAGCTTAGTGTAACTGTAATAGCTTTAGTGACAGATGAATGCCGGCTTTATTACGTCAATTTAGTTCAAATTAGCTGGATCACCTAAGCCTAAAGTATGTTTGTTGCTGTTGGAATAAAAGCTGTAACATTGCTTTTAGCTACCATCCGTAGGCGTCTTTGGACACAAAGTGCGTACATTACATATAGTTTACACGGATGATGAAAACAGGTTGGATAAGTTTCTATATTTTCATGAACTCTCATTAGCTGTATACAAAGAAATGACCTTTCAAAATACTGTAAAATCCAGATAAAAGCTTGAAAGAAATGTGTATTATAGTGCAGAGGTGAGAAAAAAAAATTAATTTAATTTCCTGCTAGTCAGCAAGTTGTAACGTCTCTGACTGCAGCAATGGGTGATGCGAGTTCGAATCTCAGAAGGGAAATGAGTTCCTTCAAGGTTGCAGATACTCCTTGCTGACTGGTGGGTGCCAACCAGCACCAAATCTAGGTCCAAGTCTTCTTGCCGATTGCCTCCAACTATCTAATATCATCAAATCACTGTGAACCGCGATGGAGAGCTACCTAGAATGGTGGCACATTGCAAACCAGACTGATAGAATTCAATCTGCACCAAAGAAAGGACTAGACACATCAAAAAAGTTACTAGTGTTCAATCAAAACAATTCAATTTCCCTAAATGACAGAAAAATTTTATAAGTTAAATAATGAAAGCTTAGTATATTGTTGTAAGCTATAACACTATTTCTACATTCTGAATTAAAATTGTCATGAATTCTAGAGGTATTTTTTGACTACAAGCTGGTATTGCTCATTCTTATTGTCCAAGTATATTCAGTCGTGAGTATACAAACTAGAGTTCTTAAAGTGATTGGCACTTGACTAAGATGATGGAATTCCAAGTGAAATGAAAGCCGAACATAATCAGCACTTTAGTTTACACCTCAGTAGATACGACGTCGGCAACTAACACCTATGCCATTGGTTTCATTTGTTGTTCTATTAATAGTAGAGACGATTTGTGTCTTAGGTGCGTATTTTTGGTCTTTTTCTGTTCTTTATTTTCAACTGTTAAATTGAGAAACTTTCACTGTCCTTTCGCGCCACTTCTTCAGGGTAAACTTTATCGTGAAATCAATAAAAAATAAGTGATGTATGTAAAAACTGGCTTTTCAATACACCATATATATTCTCAAGAATTCTTTTTACTACTTAACTAATTGTCAGTAGTTATGTTATAATGTTTAATGTAATATGACTATTAGACTTTTACATTTTAAGTAGTACACTCATCACTAAGAATTTTGCATATTTCTCGATTCATAATGATTTCTTATGTAAATTGCTAAACAAAAGAGCAGATTTTTGTGCTCAAAGTACTGTCACAGGTTAGTGCAAATGAGCTATTTCTAGCTCATAGTAACACAGTGATGAGATTTGGTGAAGGATGTTCATTAAAAAAGTATGAAATCTTGTTTTACGCTAGCAGGCAAATACTGCTGAGACATTTACATTTTGAAAATGAGATTCCTTTTCTGTTCTGATGACTGGTATTATTCTTTGATGATTTGTGTGTGTGCAGCTGGTGTGTTAATAAGTCGGCATGTGAAGAATACAGCGATAATAACAGGCTTAGAATCGGATCGCAACACAGTACGCTTGATAATTTTAAAGCACAAATACTCCGATAAAAGCTTTAGTTTTTTTAATGACCATCATGAATATATATGACGTTGAATTTCATAGCACTATTTTACACTTAGGACTTGATTATGCGTCAGACAGTGGGAAACGAGAAGACAGGAATATCCTGGACCGACGTGAAGAACCTAGAAGACCTGGATTTCGCGCGTGGATGATTTATGTTTGATGTCATACACAATCGAAGACTTACAAGCGAAAACCGACAAACTGGTCGAAGAGGCAGCCGGCGAAGTCAGGACTCCAGGCGAACATAGACAAGACAGAAGTTATGAAAATAACCAACCAACAACAACAACAGGAGCAACATCCAGTGCCAATCACCATCAACGGGAGGGATTTGAAAGAGGTTATTTCATTCACTCACTCGTCTAGTGAGTAATTTCTCAACTAAAGGCAGTCGGAACAGACGAGGATGTCAAGTCGAGAATCGGGAAGGCGAGAAACACATTCATCAACCTGAAATCAATCTGGAAATCTTCATCACTCAGCCAGCATCAACAACAAAATTCAGTCGGATTTTCAATAGAAACGTCGAGTCAGTCAGTTCTTCTATACAGATCAGAAACTTGGCGGGTGAGTCAAAAAGAATATTTCCAACAGCCAGTTGCAGACCTTCATCAACAACTGTCTTTGCTCTATACTGAAGATTAGATGGCCGGGACGGAAAGAATCACCAACAAAAAACTCTGAGAACAAACAAAATAAGAAGCAATCGCCAACCAACAAATATGCAGGAGAAAGTGGAGATGGATTGGACACTCGTTGAGGAGGCCTCCGGGTGACATCACGCGCACGTCAGGCTATTGCTCTAGTGGAACCCGAAAGGGAAGCGGCGAGTGGGACGTCAGTGCAAGGGTGACATGGAGGAGATCGTGTGAAGAGGAGTTGAAACAGTATGCACTGACATGGATGCAGTTGAAAAATACAGCAGAAGACAGAAGCAAGTGGAGACGTGCAGTTGAATCCCTATGTTCCACTAGGAATCCAAGGGAACAATAATAATAATAAATTTTACACTTAGGAAGTCTTATTCTTCTTATTACTTAATTATATAGAAGTGTCCACACATCTTTTTATCTTTCACAACACATCATATATCATTTGTAATAAGGCATAATATCTGTGGATACACATACAGTTAAAATTATTATATCACTTAAAAAAATGCTTCAATCCTTGAGTTCCGAGTGGAACACAGAGTTTTAACCTTTGAAATTTCGGTAGTGTTAATGTCATCTTTATGGATTGCAGTTGCTAGATACCTTCAATTTTCTTTGAGATCACTAGTGGTTACAGAGAGACAGAACTTGGTGAGGTTTAGCAGTGCATGAGCCGTACATAGAAAACTGTTCTCTCACTTATGTGGCGATCTTTCGATCATTGAAGTGACAATACACAAACCCTCCTAAATGTGTTTACTTAAAAGAAAAAATGAGGCAGGTGCACGTTCACAGAAGCATTGCATGCGTATTATTTCTCTAAATAAAGTAAACCCTCATATTCTAATGAAATGCATTTATGCTCAGTGCATTAATTAGAGACTTCAATAATCTAATCAGTGCCATATTTCTCAGTATCCATTTAAACAAGACAGAAGAAACAACAAAGGATATTAAATACCCTATTTCACAAATAACAAATCGAATTCAAAGTATTTAGATAAATCTTTTCTACTGATTTCACGATATCACTAAATTTCATTCATTTGCCGGACAATTTTAATAACTTTAAACACAATTAACTAAACTGCTTACATACTACGAGAATATTTAAGTAGACAGTGGTTAAAACCAGAAGGTTTCCTTACTTTGCATACCACTGGCATGTTTATAAACATTTTGCCCACGGTTGATAATGGATCACTTACTGATTTGGTTAATGCAATACTTTCTTAAAAACAGTTTCGCAAAACTCAGCCTTCAAAGATTTGTATCTTTAATGCGCTGTAAGTGCCTAGCTTCCACTATGGTGCATGCATTTTATATAATCAGATAACCTCTAATAAATAATCACATTAATGACTTTAGTAACAATATGAATTTTTAATCATATTATCACATACCATATCTTCTGTTAACTCGAAGAGATTAAACCTTGTTCTAATAAGTAAACAGATAAATTCTGCGATAAGTGTGTAGTAGCATTAATGAAGATTTGGCATGACACAAGGGAACCATTAACTTAGTTCCTTTCAAACCACAATTATTGAATACATTGCTCGACTCGCATGAAATAAACAACATTTCTATTTCAAGAGCCATTAAAGCAGATTATATATATATATATATATATATATATATATATATATATATATATATATATATAGTGATACGCAAGTGTACTGTATAGTACTAAAAGTAATAGTGAACCCTTTCGTACAAGAAAGTTGCGTTGGGATGTACAAATCATAATTCTAACAAGACATCGGAATCCTGAAGTGGAAATGTCCGTGGAAAACTACGAACACTATTCACTGACAGCTACCTAGTATTACAAGTTAGCTGTAAGACGGCAAACATTTATTTAACTGTATGCCAAAATCCTCACTGTACACGTGCTTATGACTCTGTTTTGTATACCACTTAAAAATTCTCTTGAAAACAATTTTCGGTTTTCGTAAGCATGCCAAATTTGAATAAACTGGATATGGGTAAAGCATCTTTTGTTTCCAAAAAGAGAATAAGAATTCAATATCTAGAAATTTTGCACTCGATTATGAGATATGGAGGACTTATTGCCATGTTTTCAGTTTCATTGAGTCTATCAGAAATATGGAATAATAATTTCAGCTGTTCAGCACGGTGTATGTGGAAAACGTTTCCTCTCCTTAAAGGACTCTAAACAAAGATTTTATGAAGTGTGGACTCATTTTCTTATACGGATACTGGCACTGGCTAGAATGAAACTTATATTCATATCTCTATAGGGTGAAATTATTTGGAATATTAATTGCTAACATTATTGCATAAGAATATTGACAATCTCACTGAGTTTTCTGCTCTTTAATGCTAAAGTATTATTGCTTTGAAATAGTGAGATTTTGATGAATAAACTGTACTGGAAATATCATTATTACATATTGCTCGAATAAATAAGTAAATCACATAGAGGTTCTGTTGAAGTTTCGAAATATGATTTGACGGTTTTCATCTCTCTAATTAGTATTTAGGTAACAATGGTACAGAGAAAATAGAGTCCGATATATAATTTATTAATTGACGACAGCAAAAATAGATTAAACAGTTGCATCTAGAATGACCTTAACCACTACTTAACGGAATAGATTCACTGTGGAAAGACTCCTAGAAAACAATTATCAGATTAAGAAGTTGAAATGAAAACTCAGCTCACATTCACAGATAAGTTTGGGGCAATGATGGCATTCCTTAGTCCTCCTTTTCGACTTCATCAGTTAAGTTATTTTACAGTCACTGAGAGCTCCTAAATTCTGGTGCCGTGGTATTTATACTTTAAAGTGATCACCTTTACGTCTCAAACATCTGGTTTTTGACTGTCATCAGCTCGGAATCCATGAGGATTCATTTCCATGGACATTTAAATTTTATTTTATTTGACATTCAGTGGGAGTCAAGCTACTTCTGAGTTATTTGAATTTACTACAGTCGTCATTCTTATTTGTTCTTACAGGGCTATCAGATTCTGTACAGTCGAAATCCACAGGCCCCATTAATACAATGGCAAAAAGTCGGAACACAATTTGAAAGCATCAAACTTGAAAACCTACTTACCTCAGAAACTTATCACATTCGTGTTAGTGCGCATAATTCAGCTGGTGAAGGCCCTCTGACAGATTCTTTTCCAGTCTTAGTCAAATTTGGAAGTAAGTGGCACGCGTATATCCATCTCGTTTAACTTATCTTCATATTTCTTGATATCTCCTGGATATTAAGAAGATTTTTTAGTATGTTGAATACCGTGCGTTACAGATATTTAATTGCGAAATAATATAAATAAGGAGCCTCACAATTTCCATAATCTTGCATCACCTACTTATTAGTAGTACAAATTTATCATAGAATAAAGAAGCGAAAACACTAAATCTGCATCAAGAGACCATGTAAAGCGAATGACGGAATTTTCTGTAGCCGGGAAAGCATTAGGTGAAATACTATTTGTCTACTGACTTGCTAGCTGAGCTGATACAAAATGACATTTGCTTTTATGGTTTCTGGAGAGTGATACATTCCAAATGCGTCAAGGGATCAGTGTCAGAACTCTCCTCAACCACGTGCATGTTCCGGTGTTCGGTTCCCGGCTGACGCACTCCTAGACCTTGCCTAATTCACTAGTGAGTAGGAGGAAGATTGAATGTTGGCCTTAAGGCTAGCGACCCCACGCCGTAAGAAAAACATCACGCCTAGTGAAACTTCAAGGCTTCAAGCCTGAAGTCTTTAGTTCACGTAGTTGCTTTTGATGGATGCATCGATATCTTCATATTTTCGGAAATCAGTATTTCAGCTTTAACGGCGTGGGGACGATTTTGATCTTTATTCATTTACTTGGGCTGATATTTGTCAAATATATCAGTCGGTAGGAAGGAGATCTATCAGACAGTAAAGTTTGAGAAGTATCGTGAAAATTTATTAATCTCCTATGGAACAAACTCTCAAAATATACTTTCACTCATGTTCGTCCTGTTGCTGGGTTTTCACGCTATTACAAAGGTTACTACAATGTTTTGTGATGAGACAGTTATTTTAATAAATAGGAGTAGAATTAAAGGTTCATCTGAGTGTATCGAATAATAAAATTTTAAAACTCTGGAGCTAAGGTTGATACTTTGAAGTTCCTTTCTTCGTAAACCGAATGTTTGATGCTAAAATCGAATAACAGGATGGAAATATATGTAATCACATAAAATTAGGTGTGGATCTAATAATCTACTTACAATCACTGACAGATAAGACTTTAACAGACGTATATACATGATGTTGTCTAGGCTTCTGTCTAAGGCGACCGTCACAAAAGACTGGTTAGATACTTCTAGTGAACACTAATCAAGTGCCCACTAGTAACTCACTACAGGATGTCTAGTGAAATGTTGTGACCAGTTGAGTCAAGCAAGTTCGTTATGAGGACAAATACTCGCCAAGGACATTGGTTGATGGTGGCGCTATATATCCTTAATTGGCAGATATTAGAATTTGTTGGCCATTGAATTTGATTCCAGTGGCTGAATAATCATCGGGCTCATCTTGTAACCTGAACCCCTGGATTAGATCGCTGGTAAAGCCATGGATTTGTGCTGTTGAAGAGGTTCAAATGAGGACAAAACTGCTACCCAGTAGTAGTGGTTCTGTAACTGAGGTCAGTTCATGAATAATCTTAAAATTCAGTGAAATTGATGTTAAAGAAACAATTGTATGAGCAAATGACGACGGAATGATCGATATGACCTTTCTCTTTAAAAATATTTGTCACTCTTTTCCGATGATTGCGTTATACCATCATACTCAGGTAACCTGGATAATATTTTCGCTTTGTACAATTTAATAAAAGTAGTGATGTAACCTCTACCACTGATCGAATTAAAATCTCTTCTCTTTTATATTAACCAAGTTTCTAATAAAGTAACTAAGCTAAGTAAGTTTATGTAACCATTCACTGTGAAAGCCTTTAAGTTCTCGCAAAATTAAGAAAATGAAAGCCTGAAATTTGTTTTTTTTATTTTTTTTTACTTGAAATTATTTTCCCATTGGTTCAGTTGCTCTTTTTTTTATTTGGTTTGTGAAAATTTCATTTCACTGCAGTTCACTTGTCACGAAAACAGGTATTTTATTTGAAAGCTGTTTTTCTCTGACTTCTGGCAAAATTTCTTTTATTTATTTTCTTTAAAAAAGTTTTTATTTTTATTTTCCTAATTTATTTCAACTGTAATTTAAAATGGTCAACAAAAAATGTGCATGAAAAAAGAAAGATTAGGAATGAAAATGAAGATATATAGCAGTTGATTTAATCTGTTAAGACACCAGCCTGTAAGGTAAAGGCAACATTATTTCAATACAGTAAACTCCTACATGTAGTCAGTTAACTGCCTTACATGATGTCCCGGCACAATTTAAAAAACACTGTCGGATCAGTTACACTAGAACAGCTGGAGGTTTTCATGAACTACTTGGGTGTTAAGTTAGTCTTAGTTTGCTCTGTCTCTGTTTTGTTTTCCAGTTGTCTAAGTTTATAGATTGCTCCCATTTAACTGTTTTGTTTAAAATTATAAAGCCAGCATTTTGAGATAACTTCGAATATATGGTTGCGTTTAATGACATTTATTCCTCATGCTGAAAAGAGTGACTCAATAGGCACGAAACAAAAGCCCTCACCAGGTGATTGATTACGCCGAAAGTGTGAACTGTAATGGTTACCGTGTTGGTAATTACTTTCAGTTTTATCACTTTATCAACACTTTTCGTGCCTTGGTGAATCGCAAAATACGCCTTCACTGAATCTGATAAGTGAGCGTCTGAAAGGCTAACTTTGCTAATATACAACACTAAAGAAGTCTATTCAACATGAGCGCTTATGCATTTCATTCACCTCTTCATATATGACGAAATGTTAGCCGTACACGCTCACACATTTAAAAATTATTTTATTTCACTGATTATTTCGTTTATTTAAATGTGGTATTCTTTATTTAACTCATTGATTTCACCTTTAAGTCTTTACAGCAAGTTTAAACACCGTAAAATATTTTGATTTTTTAAAATTTATTTCTCATTATCATCATTTGTCTGTTTTACACATCAATATTTATTTTGTTCTTGGGCAATTAAATCCTGCCCATTTCCAATTTATTAGCGTTTTCAGTTGAAAATGATTGTGCTTTTAGATTTAATTTAAAAAAAATTATTAGTATACTTTCTGTTAACTTAATTTTTAATCACGAAATGCTTCAAACGCACAATTCGTTTTATTTATTCATTTTCGTTTTCATTAATGTTATTCTGTGCATCTGTTTATTTAAAAGTTAAAGAATGTTTTACATTTCGCCTTAAGAGCTAAGTTAGGATACTCTAAACACACCTAAACAAAAACTGGCCCACCTATAAAGAAAAAAAATATGGTTATTATCTAATTTATATATATATACATGTATATGTGATGAGGCTTTTCAGAAGTACCCATTTATAAATTTTCCCAGTCTAACGTTAAAATTCGACGAATCCCATTGAAATGTACTTTATCAATTGGTTCAGCAGCAGTATTCATTCTAGTGGGTGTGTCGCGTGTGTAACGACCAAGACCGACTCACTGTGATCTGAGCCGATCTTCACATCCTACGACACAGAGGTCCGTAACTTCCTCGAGAGACACACAGTCACAAAACACTCCAGATAATGCAAAACAGAGACTACTAATCGATAGATCTCTGGATCTATCCAGTATTAACAACATTAAAAATTGTTATTAGGCAGCTATACAGACAAGGTAAATTTTGAGCACAAAACAAGTACTATAGAACAAAATTATTTAACCGAAATTCAACCACAAGAAGCACTTCGGAATCAAGTAGAATATTCTCAACAAGGTGTGGCCAAAATCCCTGTCCACAAGTGGTACACATCAACGTTTCTCGCAGATATCGTCCAAGGTTAGAATGACTCTGATTCATTCAAACAAAGTCACTTTGTAAAACAACACATTACTGACATGGAGCACAACTACAATGAGAAGCAATACAATTGAAGATTAAGCATTGACAAAGACAAATGATGAGCATGAAATCAAAATGTGATAGGCAAGTGTGAGAATAGTGATATACAGTCTAGGAGAAAAGTGGGTAATAATTACAAAGTTGAAATGCTCAAATAAGTGTAAATATTACGATTAGATCGCTCAGAGAGGATCCGCCAAATAACTATTCCGTTACAGCGTAGTACATGTTACACAGTTATTCGGTGTGACCTCCTTACTGACCAAATCCGATCAATTCGCCACTAATTCCATTTTATAAAACGGAATTATTTCACCATCTACTAATATGCATCAGAAAAACTGAGTATGCCTGATCAGAAGGAACACGATAAATTCACCATTGCATGATGATTTCCATTTTTACTAGATACGCCTGACCATATAATGAGAATAATATCCTGCGAAATGTTTTTTTTTACTGACTGCTATTTTAATAATTAAACGAGAAACAGCGGTGTAGTATATTCCATCGCTCATTCTTGTACACCTGACTGCCCCTTAAACACAAATTGCATTGGCTTGTAATAAAAATTGTATTTTGCCGGCTGTAAAATCGTAATGTTCCACCAGATGATTAATATCTGCATAATGCTATACATATACTACTAAGTCACGTGAACAACTAAGAAATAATCAGGTCAACAAGTATTGATTTGTTGCTGTATCAAGCAGGACGCACAACATGGTTTGAATACTTTCGTTTTCCAAAAGAAATCGTGACCAACTAACTGTTGCCTTGAGCTGTGCAGTTTAAAAATAAAAGAATTTAATAACCAATTTTTTAGTCACAGTCAGCACTTATTAGCAGCCGGGTGAGTAAACTAGTAACTAGTGACCCATTTGTGATCTTGTCCCGTCAAGACATACCTATGGTTTGGTTAAATGTGTCATTTCAGCATAGAATAGATCCAGCAAACATCTCAGAGGTATTAATGCCAAATACTGCTGCACGTAACGTACCTCTGATGATTATCAGGTTTATTTCATCATATTGGACAACAAGAATTTTGTGGATGTTGATTTACATTATAACATTTATTTACTGTTGTTATCACTTGTCTGAGTGTAAAAGTTATCAAATTTCAAACCAGCAATACGTCAACTGTTTGCAGTAAAACTGTCTTGTTAACAATTCCTAAATTTGTTTGTGTTGGTGTATGTGTAATTCAGCTTTAGCTCATATCATGTTTCATAGGGTAGGTATCCAGTCGATATAATTTGTTACAGGCGTACCTGATCAATCCATAGATATTCTAATGTGCTTAAATCCTAAAGCTAACAACTATTTTTGATCATTTAGGAAATTATAGTTAACTTTTGTTCATTAGATCATATTTCAACCAAAAACGTCATTTTATGAGCATATTTTATTGTTAAAGCAGTAATGTGATGCAATTCAGTGCACTAAGATAGCAATTTACCCTCATGTTCCGCATGAAACTGATTGTCGTAAATTGTGATGCCTGAAAAAGCATTCACGAAAGAGTCAGTGAGTACTATACAAGTCAAAGAATAATTTCATCAGGTCACCTAAACTGAACGTAATACGGTATTTTTAACAAACTTCTGATTGCAGAAATATTTGAACATTACCTTCTTATAATTAAAATTTCGTTTTTAAAATACCAGTCAGCAACACACAAAGCACTTGTAATTAAGTGAAAACGATTTAAGCTTCTTTTGAAATGAAATTATTTGATTCCCTTCATCTTGTTAATTGCCTATACTGCCTAATTCTTTATTTAGTTCCATCACAACCGCGCGAATTTATTGGCTTAAGTTTTAATCCAAAGGAGATCCATCTTAGCTGGATAGCACCTAATCTACCCGTGAAAACTGGATTACAAGACTACCTATTAAAATATCGTTTAGCAGTGGATAGCACTTCTGACAACGGAGAAAAACAACAGAAGAAACAACAACCAATGGAGATTAAACTATCTGCGGAATCGACAGAGTATGTAATGGAAAATTTGGTTCCAAATTCAACGTATCACATTTCTTTAGCTGCTCGTACAAAGTATGGCGCTGGTATAGCAGCACAGATAAAAGTTCAAACTGACAGTATTGGTGAGTTGAAATCAATGCATTCAATTATTATGTTACATTTGTCTTCTGTCCTATCAGAAGTAATTAATTAGATAGTTTTGCCAATATTTTAGTGGCTTCTAGAAGTTCTAAATTAGGGCATAGCTTTCATATTAAAATTAAAGTTTGGTTATTTTAAAGGAGGATGAAGTCAACACTCATTCACGTCACCTCACTCGTAATAATAGCTAAAGTGTCAATGATTTCAAACCTTCCGAAAGCTTTGAAGTGGCTCATTGAAGATATTTCAGAGCAGAAATATCGAATGATTACAGCAGTTTTACATTCATTGTCTTCGTGTTTTAAGGAGAACAAAGTAATCTACAATAATTAAGTAAGAATGATGTCAACCATTATTCAACAATGAATTTTATGATAACTGGTGGGTTGAGATATCTCAACAGGTAATACTTATGTGTATTACTGGTGTCATTCTCTAGAAGTGGTAAGAAAATGATAGTTTGATGGTAAGGCCAGAAGTAATATGTGGCTAAATGGTGAATGCACCCAAGGATACCGATTTACGTAGGGAAATATCGGGAACATAGCAAGAAATATCATCAGTGAAATTAGAGTCATTCGATGAAATAATACATTAAACCATAAACACAGTTTTTACTATCATGTATATAAAGCGGCATATGTAATAGCCTACAGTTGTCTATGAGTGAAAGACTGGATCATTAATGTATCAGTTGCTTGTTGCTTCCAAAGGAATGCAAAACTGGAGAGAAGCTTAACTGAATCAACTACATTTGTTAGTTTATCACGACTCTCTGGGTAGGGTTTGGAGGTCACCAGAATCAGTCACGTGACATGTCAACATATATGACAGCACTAAAAATGCTGTAATTTCCTCCTCTTATCTCTTTTTCTCCAAGCAAAATAAAGTTACGAGCGTAACTTAAATTCTCTTGATTAGTGTGCTTGCTTGTTTTTACTACCCTGTTCTTCCACCACTTTGCTTCTTTTTCATATTTTGTTTGGCGTATCTGTTGGTGCCGATGTTGTATCAGGTTTGTTTAAAATATGGAAATAAACTACGAATGAATGTCCAACTGTATATCATACTCCACTATATTGAAATCTTCGGTGGGAAAATTACTTCAGTAAATTCATTTTCAGAATATCTTAGGATCAGCATATTTTGAACTGCGGGGGAGAATAAATATCCGTTTATCATAGATTAGAAGAAAATGAGAGTGGAAATGCCAAGATATCTGACTTTTTGCCTTTATTTACCTTCCTCTCTCCCATTTCTTTATTACTGCATAAACGAGAATGGGAGTAGAGATTATTTTAGAGGCAAAAGTAGTCAATATAATCTTTACGCTTTGACCTTTTACGACGATGAATGTAAACAAGTTATTAACTTGTGTTTATCCATAATGGATATTATTCAATTGCATATTTGCAATAATTTTCATCAATGTCTATAGTATACTATTTTATTATGATAATGAAGTTTATTCAAAGGTTGTTGAACATTTATTATGATGATAGCAATGCAAAATCTTATTTCTAAATGTACACACGGAATACACACATTTTATCCATAATTCAACACGATTTCCTACATAAAATACAGAAGATAAATACAAATTAATTTTCTAAAAGCTATGCCATACAATTAGGCCTCATTTGTCCATCTTAAAGGTTCGTTAAATAACCCATAAGTGGTAGAATAAGGCCATACTAGGGTCATATTTCAAAAGATTTCAAGTTGCTTACACTACACTCTGTTAGACGAAGTGAATTACACAGATATTTTTTTCTTAAGTGACAAGAATTGATTGTCAAAGGACTAGGCATATTTCTAGCCAAGTGGATGATTGTGGTATTCTAGACATTTGACTGGCTGTTCAACAAACTGCAAATCAGACTTATTCTAATCATAGCATTTTTGCTTAACAGAAAGAATTAACGGTCTAAAAACTTGAAAAGACTGCCAAGTAAAGTGCGTCGGTGACACAGCGGTTACGATTGTCGCCGGCCATGCACATGGTCCAGGGTTCGATCGCCCGCCGACGCACACCTGATTTAAATGGTCGGTATTCGAAATTCGGGCTACCGATATCACATGCTGAAAATTTCATACTTGTACCGAAAATATGGTGTGGAGTCAAGCTAAAATAAAAACATACTAAACAGACATAAAGAAGGATGCATCGAGTTGAGAATAATGGACATTATTTAAGTATGATTTTGTCAAAACGTTTTATTCAATCAGCCTTTTAAAGGAAGCCAAACGATATTGTGAATTCTAATAAAGCAAGAACAACAGTTTGTGCAGAATAATAAAATGCTACAATCATTTATTTCGTTGGCTTCTCATCAGCTGCCTACAGTCCAAAAACATTATTAAGTTTGTGTACAGAAACAATTTTAACATACATAGAACCAATATATGCATATAGTGGTAATAGTTATGATTTTTTTTATCTTGAACAATAAAAGTCATACCCAATAAAAGTTTTTGGCGTACATGTAGTAAAACGCCTACGTCAACAGAGCCATATCTAGACATCTCCTTGACACGGGTCATGAGGTGGACATCGCAAGATCACTCAAAATTATCATTAAGCAAAAGAGTTCACTTCTTCTCAAGTTTGCCGAAGCAATCTCCATCAAGTGCTTGAAACCCGAAATATGCTTACAGAATAAAGTGGTTATTAGTCTTTCCGTGATCTAGTAACTGGATATTTTCATCCTCTCTGTCATTTGATTACGCTACGGCAAAAATAATTTTATTGTGTATGATTTTCATTGTTCGAGATAAAGTGATTATCATTATTATGACCATTAAATGCATATATTGATTTTTTGCTTAAAAATGAACTCTCAGTGTAAGTATATTACAACAGTTTCTGTACATAAACTTAATAATGTTTTTTGAGGGCTGTAAGCAGCTGATGAGAAGCCAACCAAATAAATGATGATACCATTTCATTATTCTACAGAAACTGTTGCTCTTGCTTTACTCAAATTGATAAAAGAGAAAAAATTTGTGAAGATATTGTGAATGTAAGTAAAGTTGACGAAATTTTACTCAAATAACTGATGATGTTACATTCGTCCCTACAATGTATTTTTTTTATTTACAGCTTGATTTCACACTGTATTTTCGGTACAAGTATGGAATTTTCAGCATGGATATCGGTAGCCCAAATTTTGCAGTCCGACCATAGATATCAGGTGTGCGTCGGTGCGGGCTCGAACCCCGGACCATGTGCATGGTCGGCGAGAGTCCTAACCACTGTGCCACCGACGCACTTGACCTGTTCTGATTTATTTTGTAGAAACAAGCCCACAGTCAACGCCTGCAGAAAATTTCATACCTACTGTTTTTAAATGGTCATTGAAAGAGTGAGTCATAGTAAACTCCAAGTGACAAGTATGAGACATCGCCAATGAAACAAACTTATTGACACTTGCATTCACAAACAATAAAAGTGTGACTTAGAATGGCCTTCCTACGTGGGAATTAGGATAAGACGAAATTTACTTCCAGAGAAAAGACTAGAATGAGACTATTAATTTTTTTGTTCTTCAATAAATTTCTAAGTTACGGCTTTATATTGTTAAAAGACTGAGAATATTTGCCATTATTTGCCCAGGTTTAACTTTTCGTAAAGAAGAAAAGCTCATCATTTTGGAAATTTATTCGGACCCTGAAAACCAGTACATGCACTTAAATATCAAGCGTTAAGTATACTGAAAGGCACTGATAGTAACTTTATTATCAGGCTCGAACTCATTAGGAACTGTGTGTATAATTTGACTGGTTGTCAGTGTTTATGTTGCGGTGTTCCTACCAAACAGATTTCAAAGACTGTTATGGGAAATAACTTGATCATTTTTTCCAATTTTTCGTAGTTCCTGGAGCACCAATTCTGCATGGACTTAGTATACTGGATTCCTTCAGTATACGAATTCGATGGTTAGCACCACGCGGTGTTTTGGATAACATAAATGTTTCACAGTATGTACGTCTTCTCAGCAATTCTTTATCGAAGGCTGAAAAACCATCGAAAGTTTTGCACTACTTAATTCAGTGGTCAGCATTTCCATTTACGGATTGGGAACAAAATAAAATATCTGTGAATTATTTATATCCTACACAACAAATTTATGAATATATTATTCATGGTCTTTTATCACGTACTACATATCGTATTCGAATAATGGCTGTTGGTTCAGAGGGGATGGGTCCTGCTCTTGAATTGGGTCCAATTAAAACGAAAGGTCAAGGTGAGTCATTGCAAGTAATGAATAAAACTTTGTCTTGTTTTTGATATGTTTTCATTCATTTTTTTAAAGCTTTTAATAAGAAGGTTTGTTTAAGTAATAAAAAGAAGCATATATGAAGCATAATCACAGGATTTTATGATTCACCTACTCGAAACAGTGAAATTCGCCGAAAAAGAAAAGTTATTCTTTATTTCAATACAGAAGTGTAAAAACCTGGTCAAAAAGGGAGTTGACAGACTTTGCCACAGAGTTGTCACACAGGGTCTGTTGAAGTTGTCCGTAAGTGATTTGTCAAATAATATACATAGCGACGTAGCTTGTATGACTGGTATCTTCACCTGTCGTCATGATTTCTTTATTATTATTATTATTACTATTATCTAGGTTCCGGAGTGGAAAATAGGATTTCTTTGATTGCATACTAGTCAGTAACTAGTGTAATGTGTCTAATCCTATCTTCACTGCAGACTGAATTCTATCAGTCAAGCTTGCGATGTGGCCACCATGCTAGGTGGCTCGCTATTACGGTACACTGTGAATTTTTCGTATTAGATGGTTGGAGGCACTGGGTGACGCAGGTTCGAACCTCAGAAGGGACATGAGTTCCTTCAAGGTTGCAGATACGCCTTGCTGATAAGTGCCAACTAGCACGAATCCTAGGTCCAAGGCTTCCTGCCAATTGCTTCCAACCATCTAAATAGGACTTCAGTAGTACATCTCTCCTTTGTCCCACTCCTTACGGTCCACTTTAGCTGGCCCGACGATTGCACATAGTCTCTCATGTCTTCCTCACACTATCTCCCCCATGTCACCCCAGAAGCCACGCCTTACTCGTTGTTTCCCAGTCGGTTAATGATTGGTGCTAGTGGCTGTTGTTGATCGGTAATTTTCATCATTTCCGCCTTTTTTGTGTTCATTTCAAGTCCTGCCTTTGTCGCCAGCTCATTCTTACGACTCTGTGGTTTTCTCCAGTGAGCCTTCGAGTTTGTGTGATATTAGACATGAAAGGTCGGCAAAATCACGAGTCTTCTCATTGGTCTAACGTATTCCTGTGTTCTCACTTTTTACAGTTTAATGAATAATCCAATCCAACACAGTCGGCAAGATCATCAATGACAGTAGTCAGCCTTGTATTACTGCTGTATTCACTTCAAACCCCTTACTGAGTTTCCCGCTGTGGATCACCTGACACGTGACCTTGACATGTAGCTGTTGAATGAGGTTGATAAAGATTTGGGATACTGCACTGCATAGAGGTGAAGCATTTCCCAAATTACGCCTCGTTTAACATGGTCAAAGGCATTTTCGAAATAGATAGAATTAAGATGGAGGTTTGACTGCCATCCTATCCTTTGTTTGATGACGATGCGTAGAGTTGCAATTTGATCAACACATGATTTGCCTTTCCTGAATTCAGCTTGTTCCGGGTGACTAGTACATCTTTTATTCTCTCCAGGATGACATGACCTAATAATTTACTTACTCATCATATTTAGTACAAAACAAGTGAAGAAAAGTGACTCGTTGACTTAAGCATTCGACTCCTAACAAACAAGGCCATGATTTGAATCCCTCTCGACTTGCTTCAGCCCCTAAGCAAAAAGTGTAATTCATAGCATGAGCAATCTCTTCTGAGTGAGTTGTAACAAACATTATAACACCCTAGTAAGCAGTAAACATCCTCTAGAAGCATGCATCGCGTACTACAGTGTAACAACAGAAGGAAATCATAGGAGTCAAGGTATATATTTCACTAATCAAACCACTGTTTATATATATATATTCTCCAATCAATCACTGAGTTTGTGATTTCGGTTTACATCAAACAACATGAAATAGAATGTTCAGATATACATATTATTCTGTTGCTAATGCCAAATTGAACTGTGGGAATATGTGAGAATCCTACTCCGTTCATACACATTTTCTGTATCACACCACCACAAAACAACACTGATAACACAATATAAAATTTACACTCATTTATTTGTGTGAGAAATTAATAATTATTTCTATTCTCTAATAAGATAAAATATTCTGCAGCTTGTTTTAACTTTAAAGTATTAATTTATCACCAAAAGTTTGCAAGGATAAGTCGTACAGATGGGCTGGTGGTTTAATTATGCATACATCGTTTTCCCTCAAAATAATCAACTTTTCCGTGAGTTGAAGCCGACTCTTCTTAAACAAAATAATCCAATTAAAACAATCTAGGCATACAACTCCAGCATCAAGAAGTGATGTGTAACACATTTTGTGCATTAACATAACAGTATATATTAAATATTCCCATAGTAAAATTTAAAACAACACATTCAAGCGAACAATATTGTTTTCAATTAGATCTCATCAGGCTTAACTCTAATATATATATATAAGTTTATAAATAAAAATTCAAATATAAACCAATCATGGTGTTTTGTCTATAGGATAATACGATGGTGAATATAAATTGTGCAATTAGTTATAATAATAATAATATTAATAATGAAAAAGTGAGGCAATCTCTGATAACACGAATAATGAAAAACGGTATGATTAAACAAGCAAATGTTCAAGTGGAAGTAGTCGATAAAGGCTAGTAAAAACAAATGAACCGATTACGAAATGCTACATTGTAAGGGAAGTAGATGAGACACGTTTTTAGTGAAGATGTGATAAGATTAAGGTATGATAAGAAAGGGGTTGAAAATATAAACAAGGGGTGGTGTAGAAGTCTCTAGTTGGTTATATCTTAATAGGCCAAGGGAGGGATAATGGCTGTACGAACTACTTTTGAATGCATAGTTTAGGTTTAATAGCTCGAATGGCTATCGCCTTAGCTGTGTACAGTAGGCGAATACGAAGTCTATTGGAAAGATTCGTTGGGATACGGTGAATTACTTTGAAAGCTGTTGTTTTCTCCACTACTACACGACCAATATCAACTAAATGTGACAAAATTGAGTTAGGGATTGTTTTTGTCTGTCCTTTGCCGTACCACGATGGGAGATGTTCACTAACACGTTGGCCAAGCTGTCTAGTAGTATGCCCAACATAACTATCACCACAGGTGCAGTTGAATTGATAAATACACACAGATGCGGCAAAACTATCAAGCTTATCCTTCGTCAGCTAGAGAATGACGAACATAGGTGTGCTGCATAAAATATTCTTCGTATACTCCTTGAAAGTCTTTCGAATAGAATCTCGATGTGGTTGTGTTCTCTGAGCTGGATGGTTGATTTGTGAAGCTTTCATCACCCTACTGGGTGACATCTTCAGCGCGTACTTCAGTTTGAAGAGAACACAACCACATCAAAATCATCCACCTGAGCTACAAATCTTCTCTATCATATCTGAATAGAATCTCACTTGATAAGTCACCATTAAATTGTAACTTAATAAATTGAGATTTCTTACATGCAGTCATAGTCTCAGGTTTTCACTCTGATGTTTTCATGTGTTTCTTTATGAAATTAATCGGATAGCCCATCTCCGTCATGGAATCGTGAATATATTCAAATTCTTTTTGTTAGAGGTCACCCGTACATATCTTTCTTACTCTGCTCGCGAGACATTTTACAACATTCCTTTTATATTTAATGGGCACGTAACTAAGATGTGTGTGTATTGCCCTGTGAATGTGCTTTTTCTGTACACGCTTCTCCCAAGTGACCCATCTTCTCGCCTACTTAGCAAGACATCCAGGAAATGTAGTTTATTCTCCTACTCCTCTTCACAAGTAAAGGTAAGCAAAGGGTGGATGTTGTTGAATTTCAGCGACAATTGGTCTGTGTTAACATTCTGATCAGCTAAGATAAATATATCATCGACATATCGGTAATACATATCAAACTCCTTGATGATGTCCTTCAGTTTCCCGTTTTCAAGTTTTGCGAGAAAGAAGTCAGCTAATATTGGGCCTAATGGTGAACCCATAGCTATTCTATCTACTTGTTGGTAGTAAGAATTACTGAAGACAAAGTGAACATTCATTGTGCATTTGAGAAGTAATTCTTTGAGGCTACACAAGGGGATACCTAATTCTAATTGCCTTTCAGTGATTTCTTGAGAAATATAATCTACTGTTTCCATAAGCGGTATGTTAGTGAATAGCGATGATACATCCGTGGATAATATGCGTTTATACCTCACATTAGTCTCGGATATTTTAGAAATAAAGTCGAAGACATGACTTATTCTATTTCGCACGACTTCTCTGTGCAAATCTTATTTAACCACTTCGCTGTTCCTTAAAATGGAGAATTATACATATCTAAAACAGTATATCTCTACATTATGGAATCTAGTTAGACAAACAAAACAGTGTCAGCTACTGGTAGATTATTTTTCCTGAACAGTTCAGCTAACACAAAAGAAAATTTACATCTGAACGTAACTACTTTTATAAAAGTACCACATTCTAAGGGACTTTTGGATTTGAATTCTTGAATCCCATGAGTACGAAGGTTCTTATCGATTTTAGTCCTTTGAGGAGAGTGCCACACTTTTCACTGATTAATAAACAGGAAACAAAATTTGAAGAGACAACTCGATATTAAAGTTGAACTGTTTTCTATAATCCTTGTTTGTAAAACAAACGGATTAAAGCAAAACTCAGAAGTGAAACCTTTTACAGAATACACACCAAGGAAAAAAATCAGGACGGCTTCTCAACAGAAGCACTACCACACTTTGCTTTGCAACACTGAATTATTTTACTTTGACGAATGTAACTCCACACGATATAATGACTCATTATTGTTTGTTAATGGCATAGATTACGAGGTCATATGTATAATTAAGTTTAAAGTGAATTTAAAATCTAGGTCATTCAAATAACATTCAGCATTCTCGATTAGAGTCAAATTACTTAAAAAGGCAACCTAATCTTTAGTCTTACATGCTATCCTGATAGGCAAGAAGGCTGGCCATGATAGCACCGGTGGGACATTCTAAAAAGACTCAAAATCATACGAAAAATTGTACAGGAGAGTGCCATCGAATAAAAATGAAGC